CTCACACACACTGATACACACTGATACACACACTGAGAAAAATTCAGAATCTGACACTTTAATCTTCCTCCTGTCGTTAGCAACTGTGACTGGATGTTTCTTGGGAGTTGGAGTTAAACTGGACCTCAGCTTGTGCAACTGAAAGCGCCTGAAATAGAAACACCAACATAACACGATGCAGTCGGCGTTTGAGAGTCACCTCCTCTCCACGGTCTCTTTCATCCATATTGGAAATGTTTGTAAAACCGAAGATCCAGTGTGCAGAGGCTCGCTGGCGGCTCGAGGGAGGCGAGGATGAGGAGGCTAATGGCTCGGTGGACACAGAGAGGGGCGGACGATGAAAGTCACATTGAGCAGCTTCCTCCCAGCTCTCTCAGCAGGAGACCAGGACAGGTCTTGATCTGGACCGTGAGCCGTCTGATGGGTTTCCAGCAAAACCAGAGATGATTAGACGCGCGCACACACACACACACACACACACACAGATCGACATACCAAGCAACACGAGCACATTTCAGACTTCATACTCAGTGACGCTGCCTGCACAGATAGTCCTATATACTTATTATTATTCATATATACATGTACCTGTACATCTTTCTTGTTAATATAATTTAGTTTTCTGTTTTATTGCTTTCTTTCAAGCTCCTTTTATAAATATTTTAATATTCTTTATACAATATTCTGTATGTGTGGATGGAGCTACAGCTACATTCTATTGTTATATAATGACCATAAAGTAAAAACTTTACCATACCCTTGTATGGAGGCCTGCAACTGCCAAAATAAAAATAAAAAACAAATAAAGAAGTGACTCAGTAAATAGAATAATATGACATCAGATGCAGCTTCGTGGACAAATACTGTTAGCTAGCTTCATCCAGACTCTTGGCTGATCTGGTTGGCTTACGTTAGCTTGCTTGCTTGCAAATATTATCGCTAGAAAAATACTATCTGAGTGGATAAAGGCTTGTGAATATTGATTGACTCCCAATAGGAAGTTATTATTGCTGTGTGCATGTTTAGTTGAATATCAACTTGTCTTTAAGTTCTTTGATCAATTAATAGATTTATTTATTATTATTTATTATTGAGTAGTAGGCACTGAGACAGTGGGTAGGGACAGAGTTTATGGACAGTGTTTTAGGAACAGAGTTTAGGGACAGTGTCTAGGGACAGAGTTGTGTATCATGGATTGAGGACCATGAAGACAGCTGTCCTGCTCACTGACCTCTGTCTCAACCTGCCACTCTGTCACTTTTCATTAACGAGGACGGAGCTTGCGTTTGAACGCCGTGATGCAACAGGACAGCCACCAGCGACTGTTTCAAAACCAGAGAAAAGACAACTTGATTGACAGCTTCTGTTAGCGGTCATCAGGCGGCTGAAGAGTGGCTGCAGGGTGGAAGAAAGGACAGAATTAGCATAATGAGATATAAAACCCCTCAGGCGCAGTACTTGCTGCTAACAGCTAACAGCTCTGTGGACGGCAGTGTCGGCCCACTTCGGTTCAGACTGAAATATCTCAACAGATATTGGATGGATCGGCCTCAAATGTATATTCACAGCACACAGAAGTCAAATCCTCTTGATGTTGGTGATTCTGATTTGTGCAAAGAACTCCTCTAAAGAGATCCAGTGTTCGGTTTGTCCGTTCTGGGCTACTGTAGAAACATGGTGGTCCAACATGGTGGACTCTGTAGATAGAATCGTCTCATTCTGAAGTAACGAAAACATGATTCTTATTTTCAGCTGATTAAACACTAATGAAAACATACGGATGGATGGATATTAGATATCTGACAATAGATCCTCCTCAGTGTTTCACACTGGAGGTTTTACAGAAGACAGTGAATTTCATAATTTCCTGAGGTTTGTATAATCCAAAGGGTTGAAGCCCAGACCAGCTCACAGACTCTGATCAGGACCAGCAGCCAGTGAAGGGAAGCTACAATGGAGACGATGTGATCATGTTTTAGAGAGAGCTGGTTAAAGGTCTGCATTTTGGACACCCTGAATCCAAATTATCGAGTTCTGGCCAACAAACGCAAACATTACAATAACGATGAGATAAAAGCATTAATATTATTTATATGTGTTATCATTAAGGATCTCATTCTTGCAGTAAGTGAAGTAGATTCTTCACAGCCGTGTTAAATATATATATCTTAATTGTGAGTATTTACTCAGTATGTCGACATCTCCTCCTGCAGTCTCCTTCTATAGTGACGTTCACTGCAGCATGAATGTGAAGAAATGAAAAGTAAAGAATAGATCACAGAAACAGAGAAATATTCACAATGAGAAAAAAGATTGTATGTTTTAATCATTTCAACAATTTAACCCGAGAAAATTTCCCTCCAGTGGGAAATGTTGTTCTTCCAGTTTTTGGAGCCTGATCATGAATATTTCACAGCTCAGTCTCACAGATGGTTGTTGTGAAACCGACAGTCTGTCCTCATTTGACTCGTCAACCAAATAAAGAAACTGCATTCAGATTCAGAATAAATGGTCATCAGTCGATCTGTTTCCTTATTTGTGTTGTTATTGTTGAAATGTGTGTTTGTATTGTTGTGTTGTTTAATTTCTGTGTATGTTTCTGTAAGTGTGTGCTTGTCTTTCCACGTCTGTAACCTTTCTATGGGATAATTATCAGCTGTATCGAATGACTGGAAAAGCAGCTGGAAAATATAAACCTTTGTTAATCAAAAATATAAATACTCTAAAAACAGCATTAAGGTTGGCTGATGCATCAAACACGCTAACAGTCCGAAGGGAGCTCACAATCAATAAACTGGTTCAACACAACACAGGGTGGGCACTAAACCGGGACTGAAGAGAGAAACAAAAAGAACCAGGGATGCAACCCAGACAAACATCAACAACTACAGAAGACATCTCTGGTCAAGTTTCCCCAACAACTGCTATACAAACATGCTCCTCGTAACAGCAGTCCGCCACCGCCAACCGCTGCACTACACCGGGTCAATGACACTGGGTCCTCCTCAACAAACGCAGACAGTCCCACACCGCTATGTCTGCTCAATGTGCATCTCCTCGCACCAAATTAAACTAACATGGTGACATTTAGCCGTTGGACGTGCAGCGTGCTGGCTCCTCGTTACTAATCACTGTCCGGACCACCGAACTGGTTGGACCGACCGACCCATGGCGTTCAGACTGGCAAACAATAATGTAATCCAACACACCAGAAACTACAACGTCAAACACCTTTAAAGTAAAATCTAAAGCTTTACACATTTCAGATCACATTATGTTTTTGTACTTCCTCTCCGATCTGCCCTCAGCCCTGGAGGACTTAAAGAAGAGACGTTGCACCCTCAGTTGTATCTGGACTCTTCCTGCGATTTATTCACCTCGTAATTTATTTTCCAATCGCACAAGTTCTCTATTTTACTTTATCGCCTGTTGCTTCATCCTCCCTCTTCCCTCCTGTCAGCAGAGTAGCTCAGTGTGTCGACTTGAACTACATTCAATAAAAAGTTTTTCTTCCACCAGTTCGTTCTCGTATCACACACTGACATTAACTACTTTGTTTTAAGATGGCAGAACGGCGGCTCAGAGGAAAGAGACATCCGGTGGAAAAGAGGAGAACGAGAGAGTGAGAATGTAACTGCAGACCTCCGTCAGCTTCTGTGCTGTGATTTCTGTGATTTAATGTCTGATTGCTCGAAGGAACGACACATGATAACGAGGACACGATGAGCTTCATACTGGAGCAGATGAATCAAATTTATGAGGACTTTAATAAGTTTTACATGGTGACAGTCGTGACAGTGAAGCTCAGATGGTGAACGGATCAATATTAGCTTGTTCACATTGTCAATGTTAGCATATTAGCATTCAAATCAAAATTCTTACTCAAGTAAAAATACTTTTAATCCCATAAAACAATGATTCAAGTAAAAGCACAAATATTTTTTAGAGTAAAAGTAACATTAACGTAGAAGTTGACATTACGTTAGCTTAACTGCTTTCTATAGGACATCAATTTAAAAACCCAAAACACCACTAGCTCCAAGATAAGTTCATCATTATCATGAGATCAAAGATTAACATTTCACATGAAAAATTAACCTAGCTAGCTAACTACATTTCCACCCACAGTAAGTGCAACTTACTTCAGTGTTTCATCATCTGTCTTTGTTAGATTGTCGCTTGAAGCTGCCTCTCGTCATTATCACATCGTGGTCTAACGCAGACGTCAGAGAGCAGACGCGACAAAGGTGTAAATAGCAAACGTAGTTAAGTAAAAAGTAGATTACTGGCTTAAAATTATACTTGAATAAAAAGTAAAAGTACAGTCAACAATCAAAAAATCTACTTTTTCTTTAATCTGCGTTTCTTTTAATCTATTACTACTCTCTGGTTTCTACCACCTTCTTATGTTACCTGCTACAACTAAAAGTAACCTGTTAAAGTCAGTATACTAACCCGCTATAGAGAAAACTCAACCTCTCTCGCTGTCTCCGTTTTCTTTGGAAAGGGAAGAACAGAAGATGAACATTTTGTTGGGGGTGAATGTGTTTACTTTGATTGTCTGTATTGGAAGATATTTATTTAAGTATTGAAGACTGATTATGACTTAAAGCAGATTTTGCACAATCCAGATTTCAGATATAACAAATCCTAAAATCCTTCTTTAACTCTCCTGCATCTGTTTATGTGCAGAGCTCCTGCAACGGGATTCACTTAAATCAATGAGCTATAATTGATGTTTTATCCTCCATTCATGTGTTTGTTGAATCACATCGTCTGTGTTTACAGCAGAGACTGGTCAGAGTCCTGTTTTAGAGGTTAATTGTTCATTCAGTGTGTTTATGTGTGCATTGATATTCTGGCTATAATCGGGGGGTTTTGAAGCATCCGGTCAAATACTGACGCTTGGCCAGATGTCGTAGGCTTCAAAATACACTGGAGGCTGCTGTTGGTGTCCCGTGTGAGGCCCAGTGTAAACCTCTGCTTTAAAGTTACGTACGTAAGTTAACTGAAAGTGTTGTCTGTCACATCAGGTCGATGACATCAACCACACAAGCTTTGCGTTGAGTCTAACTGGACATTGCATATTTACAAGGTTGGATGGTTACAGATGGAGTCAGATACTGACTCTGGATTCATTGTTGGAGAGCTGTTATGTCGGCCATCTTTTTATACGTGGACATTATCAACAATGAGTTTGGAATAGAGCAGACAACTATAACCTATATCAGAGTGACCCGTTATGTACTAAAACAAATGCATATGTGACACAAAAAGCTATTTCTTATTTTTGGATGTAATCAGTTACTCCCCCAGTACATTTATTGTTGCTAACGTGACCACTGTTATTAGAGGGGATCTGACCAAACTGCAGTATTTCATGAGTTGGGAGCAACTGTGACTACAATCGGTCGAGGAGCTTTGAAGCCTCCAGTTTGGGCTTTATGGTCATCTCCATTTTGTTTCTTTGCAGCCAGTAGCCCTAAAGCATACCCTGCTTTATGGTCTGTTTTACTCTAAATGGGACCATCATTTACTAAATGAACATCATGCTGTATGGAAGAAGACTGAAACTAGAGACTGAGACCATTAATAAACTGAGAAGTCGGCTCATTCTCCATCAGACTGAATGGTATCAGTGTGTCATTGCAAACATTTTGTAATGGCCAGCTCCCCCTGCTGGCCATTACACAGAATGCAGGTTTAAGACACTTTCTGGAAGCTCCGTCTGTATATAAACTGTGGATGGTTGAGAACATGTTAGCGTATCCTGATTCTGAGAAACCTGGATACTGGTTTTGGCTCTGTGTGATGAATAACGAGGTTTCTCATGAACATGCTTTATCCAGGATGTAATCACAAACAGGATCAGGGACTCGTGTAAACACGCTCGCTGTCACGCTTCCTTTTAGCGCTCAGTGTTTTGACATTTTGTAAATTGTCACCCAGCGCTGTGAAGTGCAGTATGCAAATACGTTTGACCCGAAGTTGACCAGCGCTATCGCCGGCATGTCGCTAACGAGCACTCTCAGGCCGCGCCGCGTCCTCTCGCTGTGAATACTGAAGCAGCTCTTTGATATTCTGCTGATGGCCTGAGTGTAAAACGGCTCTGATGATGAAAGCCTCTCTCTCTGATTCATCCACTCTCAAAGCAAACCATTTATAACTTATTTGATCAAACACTGTGAAATATGCATGATGTTTCTACATATTTCTACATTTTAAACAGTCTGGTTTCAGGGATTAATGTTAGGGATCAAAATCTGTCTTAATCCAATCAACGTCCTCAAATACGATTTAAACAAATTAAATCTGCATGTTTCAGCTGTTTAGTTGAATAATAATCTAATTAAAATCATTTTTCCGAGTACACATTCAAACTGTTATTCCTGATCTGAGTCATTCTGTCAGAGCTTTAAAGTTCCTGGAAACTCAGTTTTAAATTTAATAGTTTCATAAAAAGTTTATTATTTATAAAAGCAGATAATACAGCTTTCTGATTGGTGCATGGAAGTATATCACCTTTTTCTGACAGAGCCCCGCCCACTTCAAACAGAAATACTGTAAAATAACCACATTTGTTTTAACTTTGGTAGAAATGTGAGGAACATATTGAGGAAACAGGTTTTAGGGTCTTTAAAGTTGTAATCAGCGACACGTGGTTACCGTGGTAACAGCACAGCAGCTCGTTAACAAACTGACACTATTGAAATAAAAAAACAAGTTAATGTTTTGCAATCTAACCCCAGTGACAAATACATTGTGTTTCCTGTAGATCCTTCACAATAAAAGTCGTGTTCGTCCAGCTGAAGTCGTTTATGTGAAGCAGCAGCAGGAATTGTTTGTTGGCATTAGCAGTAAGTTAATCTGGCTAGTTGTAGCAGAGTGAACAGGAAACAGATCAATCAGATCAATTTACAGTCAGTAACACTGGATTATATCGTTTCTAGAGAATGAATCATGTTATTGAAAATAAAAAGATCACAGAAACTGTCTGAAGGTAAAATGTATGAAGAAACATTATAATGAAGTTCCGCACTTAAATCTCCAGAAAACATGTTTGTTGTTACAGACTAAAACAAAATTAACTTGTGATGTGATCATTCTTACTAGTCGTGTATCCTATCGTGTTATAATCCGTTTACCAGATCTCGCAGCCTGTTTCCTCTCAATCCCCTGTGTCTGTGAAGACAATCTGAATCCAGGTTGGGAATGGTGAATTTATGACATTAAACTCTCCAAAGCTTGTGCAGCTCTTTCTTTTACATAAGACTCTTTTTATACTTCATCACTTCCTCTTACTCCCGGCAAAGTAATTGCTCCATTGTTCTGTCAGACACCCCTCATGTATTTTGAAACAGTTTTTTTAATGTTTTCCAGCAGAAAACTTGAGCAGATAGATTGAGTGGAACATCAGAGGGAAAGAGCTTTCTGTCTCATTCACTGTCTCTGCTTTGGATTTGGTTGAAGGTTCTGACTTTTGGCTCCAACGGGAGGATCAACAGGTCGGATTCAAGGTCGCAGGATGAATCCTTTGAGAGGAGCTCCTTCGGGACCAGTTTTCTTTCAGAGGCAGAAAGTCCACGCTGGCATTTAAAGTTCCCTCCTCAACTGGCAGTACTGAGACTTAAATGGCGTCGCCCTGTCGTACTTGTGGGTTTGAACTTTCAGCTTCAAAAGTGTCTTTGTTCAGATAATGTGCAACAACACCAACAGACTGAAACTGAAATTTGTATTCAGCGACGGAGGCATCGTATTTTCAGTTTGTACGTCTAGTTGGATATGTTTAGTTGACAGTCAGTGTCTGTCCCTCTCCTCTCTGAGTTACTGAATCATAATCACCAATAACAGATTATTATTAGCTTAATATTCCTGGGAAACATCATAAATGTAATTGTGAAGATTCCCTGATGAGGTTTGCTCTTTTAGCTCTGATGTCTGGAGGTTATGAATGCCTATTAATTATTATTATGTAGAGATTTTTTATTATGGTCCAATGCTTAAACACTGATAAAAAAACATTTTTGTTGTGAAAACCTCCATAATTATACAAGATATCTGTCAATTAACAAACAAATCCATGTAAAATTACACAACAAATACTTTATTTACTGTTAATGTCACTAATTTTACATCACTTTATTAATGTATTAACAGTAAAAAACTTGAATTTAACTTTAATTCATAGTGAACTAAATTTTCCACTAGCATTAACTGTAGGACTTTCCTAATAACTATACTTTATGTAGTTTTTTAGTGAATTGCAGGTAATTGGTCGATTGGTGGTAAAGAGATTTTTTTAAACGTCTCTTTTAAGTCAAGAAGAAATATAAAATTGAGAGAAGAGGCTTCAGGATTAATGAAAAAAAAAACATTTCAGTAACAAAAAGCTAATTAAAGCTAATTAAAATGTTTATTTATTAATCCTTAAGTAAAGCTCTGCTGCACTGAGTTGTGATATCTGGTTGCTTGAACTTGAGCAGCTTGTGACCTCCGCCCACCGAGCTTAATTCTGTTAAAGGGTTAAATGTCGGCCGTTTTGGTGCCGTGTCGCACTGTAGACGTATGAGGTTGTGATGAGCTGCTCTGAATCTCGGCACTGTGCTCGTTTCCAACAGTCGTTGTGAGCATTCAGCCCTGACAGCGCCCTGGCAGCGCCGCACACTTCGACCTTGCAAGTTTTGACACTCGCCACCATAACTCCAGGAGTCACTGGTTGGAGCAGAATGAGGCCATAACTCAGTCCACAACCACACACACACACACACACACACATACACACACAGATGTATATGGTTAGCAGGCCGAAGCTGGTTTGAGTTAGCATGGAGCCAGTCACACTGTGTGAGAGCCTTACCCCCTGCCTGCTACTGCCACCCTCCGCAGTCTCTTTCCTTCTTTCTGTCTCTCCACCTCTCTCTTTCTTTTGCTAAATATGTGTGACAGTCAGCCACTGCTCGCCAGGGCCGTAGTTTACCGTCCGAGTTCCCAACGCCCTCCGAGACACACCCACAGACATACAA